TTTCTTAAATGTTTGGTAGAATTCAGTAGTGCAGCCAGATAGAGATTTCTTTGTGTTTAAATTATAATTCTGATTTCTTTAAGAGTCATGGGACTGTGGACATTTTCTGTCACTTCATTTGCCTGTATTTTCTTTGGATTGCATCTGAATTTCCTAGCATATTGTCACTGAGTTGTTTGTATGACCCTCCATCTCGTTTACTGAGGTCTAATTTATACCCAGGGACATGGTTAAGTGCAGTGTTTATAAGTTTTGAAATATGTATATCAAAAATCAGAATTTTTTTTTGTTAATCCTCGCCTGAGGATATTTCTCCTTTGATTTTTAGATAGAGTGGGATGGAGGGAAGGAGAGAGAGAGACAGGAGAGAGACAGAGAGACAAAAAGAGAGAAGGGAGATCGATGTGAGACACATCGACTGGTTGCCTCCTGCAGGACCTTGACCATGGCCGAAGACCGAACCGCAACCGAGGTAGGAGGTACGTGCCTTTGACCGGAATTGAACCCATGACTCTTGGATACTTAGTTCCACGCTCCGACTGCTGAGCCAAAGTGCCCAGGGCCACACCAGTTATCTTTTTAAAGTCTGTAGGATATGTGCTAATTTCTCTCTCTCTCTTCCTCTGTTTCTCTCTTTGTTTAGTTCCTGGCATTGTTTATGTGTGCTTTCTCTTTTTCCCAGCAATTAATCAGTTTTATTGGTCTTTTCAGAGAACTAGCTTTTAATGTTTTTCATCTTGTGTGTAATGTTTTTTCTATTGCACTAATTTCTTATTTTTTACCTTTCACTTTAATTTGTTCATATTTTTCTGATTTATTGAGATAGATGTTTAGTTCACTATTTTTAGTCTTTTCTAATACATGCATTTGAAAATTTCAAATTCTGTCTCAGTAAGACTGTGGCTACATTCCACGTTTTATATGTAGTAATAGCATATAATTGATTCAATATGTTTCCTGTTTCATTGTGATTTCTTCTTTGACTCATGAGTTACTGAAAAGTGATTACAAATACAGGGAGATTTTTCAGTTATATTGCAATACTCGCTGTACTGCAGGGGCCTGGACGGACGCAGCATCCCTGAGGTGTGCCTGGACTGCTGTGAGGCAGCCTGTGCAGAGTGAAAACCCAGTGTGCTCTGCTCCCCTCCCCCCAGAGACAGCATAACTGGCAAGTCTCAGAGGAAAGGCTTTCTGCACTCACAGGTGTACAAGTCTTAGGGGGACAAACCAAAGGCGGTGTTTCTCCCAGAGTCTTGTTTGCCTAAGGTAAAGCCTCTAAATCCCAAGCATTCTCCATTATAGGCCCATCACCCACACTTAATCCTTTACTGGCAGCCAGCCGCCAGCTGTTTGTCTACTCTAACCCTTCCCTTTACTCATCCAACCTGTTTTCTGCACACAGCCTTGTGATCAGCCCTCTCCCAAAGATGGTGGTTCCCCTGGAAACTGTTGTCAAGGCCCCGATGGCCCCACTGCCCGCTCTGTGTACAAAGGCCTCTCTCATGATGGCGCGTTCGTCATATTCTATGATGGGACTGTGTTCCTCAGACGTCCCCCAAGCTCTTTGTTGGTACAGGCGGGACCATGGTTGCCCTCAAGCAGCTTCGTGGAGGCTTTGCTCTTACTCCTGTTGGCTTCCACGGACCTATTTGCCTTGAGAAGCTTGTGGTGCAGTTGCTCTGGCATCCTCTGCCGCTGGCTTGTCCCCTGTGTGCACAGAGCCTACTTCTTACTGGAGTCCCTTTCCAGCACCTTCCCGTGCTGCTCGCGCGGGTCTCCTGCTCAGTGGCCCCTGCGCAGGTTTCCTGTGGACAGCGTCCCCTGCAGGAAGTCTTCTCGCGGTGCCTGCACTGACAAACACTGAGGTGGTGGGCCTCCAGTTATGTTTCTGTTAGTACTGTCTAGCTGGTCTCTTCTGTGATCTAAGAATGTAGTCTGTGTGATTTCAGACATTGAAGTAAATTGAGATTTGCTTTTTGACTTAGATATAGTCAGTTTTGGTAAACATTTCATCTGGTTTTATATTTAACAGTTGTTTAGTATAATATTTTTCCATATGTGTTCATTAGGTTAAGGTTAGCGACATGTTATGTGTTTCATGTCTCTTTTTTATTTTATTTTATTTTATTTTTTATCCTCACCCGAGGACATTTTTCCATTTTTTGTTCAGGTAGAGTGGGAGGGAGAGAGAGGAACAGAGAGAGAGAGAGAGAAACATCGACGTGAAAGGAACACATCGAGTGGCTGCCACCCGCACGACCGACCAGGGCCGGGGACAAACTGCAACCGAGGTACACGCCCTTAGCGGGAACCAAACCCAGGTCTCTCTGGACCGCAGGCCGACGCTCTAACCGCTGAGCCAAACCGGCCAGGGCCATGTCTCTTTTCTATTAGTTACTGAGGTAATTGTGTTAAATATATTTCTGTACTGTGATCTTTCTTGTTATTGTTTTTATCAGATTTTGCTTCACTTATTTTGAGACTGTTACTGAATGGCTAGAAACTTAGAAGTCATATACATATTTCTGACAAATTAACTTTTTATTATCTCTGGTAATACCTTCTTTTTTTCTCTTTGGGCCTTAAAGTGTGCTTCTTCTAATATTAGTCTTCCGTTCAATTAAGGTTACATTCAATTTTTCTTAATCCTTTTATTTTCCATCTTTATCCTTATGTTTAGTTCTGTTTCTTAGAAATAGCTTGTGTATGTTTGGTTTTTCATTTGGTGTGACAATCATTTGATTTGAACATTTAGCCCATTTATAGTTAATGTAATTATCCATAAGTTTGGCTTTTCTGTATTACTCTTATTATAGGTATTCTATGTTTCTTTTTCTCCTTAGTTTCTTTCAGATTGAGAGTTTTTATAATTTTATTTTCCCTTGATTAGTTTAAACTATACAGGTTTTAAAATAATTATTTTAATGATTATCCTAGCAATTATAGTATGCATTTCTGACTCTGCAAAGGCTAATATTAATTGGTGTATTTTACCCACCTACCACAGTGCAAAACCATCAGAAAATTTGGTGTCAAATTTTAGCACATTTAAAGAACCACCTGGAGAATTTACCAAAGCATTAATTTTTGGGTTCTGTTTGCACAGGACAATTCAGCAGATAGATGGCCAGGCCTAAGAATCTGCATTTTTCTCAGGCTTCCTGCTGCAAGGCTGCTCGCCACACTTCGAGCAGCGCTGCCTTGGAGCTTACCTCCACTATCCACCACACTGCCTGCTGCCTTGTAGTGTAGGTCTCTCTCTCCTAAACCTCAGCCGAAGTTGTTACTTTTGCTTAGATCAGTCAATATCTAGATTTAAATTCACTCACATAGTTACCCTTTGGTTCCTCTGCATTCTTCCCTGTATTGCTGGGCTTCCATAATGGTCATTTTTTATCTTCTTAAAGGACGTCTTTTATTTTCTTGTAGTGTGAGTTCACTAGTAAAGAATGTAATTGTGGTAAAATGTGCATAGCGTAAAATTTGCCATTTTAGTTATTTTTAAGGGTACAGTTCAGTGGCATTAAGTACATTCATAGTGTTGTTTAGCTGTCCATCTCCAGAACTTTTCCATTCTCCCAAACAGAAACTGTGTACTCATTAAAGAGTTAGCCCCTTTCTACCCTCCCCCAGCTCCTTATCACCTCTATTCTGTTTTCTGTTTCTGAATTTGCCTGTTCTCTCAATAACAGTCATACAGTATTTTTCCTTTTGTATCTGGCTTATTTCACAGCGTATTTTCAAGGTTCATTCATGTTGTAGTATGTATCAGAATTTTCTTCCTGTTGAGATCAAATAATATTTCATTGTATGTGTATACCATATTTTGTTTATCCATTTATCAAAAAAAATTTTTCTTTATTGATTTTAGAGAGAGAGGAAGGGAGGGGGAAAGAGAGATACAACCATCGATGAGAGAGAACATCGATTGGCAGCCTCCTGCATGCCTCCACTGGGGATTTAGCGCATAATCTGGGTATGTGCCCTGACCGGGAATCGAACCGGTGATCTCTTGGTGCATGGGTGGACACTCAACCACTGAGTCACACCAGCTGGGCTGCCCATTTATCTGTTGATGGACATCTGGCTAATTCTGATTGTGAATAATGCTTGCATGAATGTTGGTGCACAGCATCTGTTTGAGTCCCTGCTCTTAGTTCTTTTGTGTACTACTCAGAGGTGGAACTGCTGGCCCATGCTGGCTGTTTGTCTTAGGACAATGGAACATTTTACTGTGCCAAACTCAGAAGGTTCCCTGAGGAAAATCTTCAAAGCACAGTGTGGTTGGCTGGGAAACACATGGGCTTCATCCATTTGGGGTCAGGCCTGAGGAGACCAGATGAAGTCAGAGTTTACTTTAAGCAAATATAAGAACCATACTGTTTCTAGTTGACTGTCAAAAGGCAGTAGTACTATCTTTTAGAATTTCCCTCATGGTGGAAAAGTCTAGGTATAGGCTGTTTGAGAATTTTTTTTGTTTTATCCTCACCCAGGGACTTTTTTGCATTTATCTTCAGATAGAACGGGAGGGAGAAAGGGAGGGAGAGAAAAAGAGAAACATCGACATGAGAGAGACATAGAGTGGTTGCCTCCCACATGACCCCAACCGGGCTGGGGACAGACTGCAACAAGGTACCAGGTACCAGGTACCTGCCCTTAGCGGGAACCCAACCCGGGACTCTCTGGTCCACCCGGCTGTCGCTGTAACCGCTGAGCCAAACCGGCCAGGGCCTGTTTGAGAATTTTAAGCTAAAGATTTTCAGGTGCTTATTATGGGTATATGTTTTATGGATCCTCTAAACTGTGTGGTTTTTAAAAACAGCGTAAATAAGTATTTTGGCTTCTATAAGGTTTTGGTAAGTAAGCAGCCTTTCAGCTCTAAAATCTTGTGACTGACATGTGTTATATATTGAGAAGCTGACATCATTAATTTGTTTTAAATTTATTTAAATTTTCCCCAGAACTTTAGTGTTTTTGTTTTTGTTTTTACCAAATAGGATTTGCCCAATAATATGATCCATCAGGTGCCAATCAAATCGCTCCCTCAGGAGTGGCTTTGGTGTGAGACGTGGTGTGATGACGCCTCCAAGAGGGGGGCGAAGACAATCGACTTGGTGAGCTGTCGTCCGTGCTTGCGTGGCCGCCCGCGGCCGCCCGCGCCCTCAGTGTCCGTTCAGGGCAGAGGGTGGACAGCCGCGGGGGTTGGTGCACAGGGTCTAGTCCGTCTTCCTCCGCTGGTGTCGGTTCAGGGATCGGAGAACATTTCCGTGCGGGTCTCCCGAAAGCCAGCGCCTGCCTGCGGGGGCTGCTCCTGCTGCCAGTGGGCGCGGCTTTGCTCCTGCTGATTGTCCTTTGGTCCCTCAGTGTTGTTTTTCTGCCCAGTTAGGACTCGAAACAGAAACACCTTTGAATTCTGTATAATGACCCTTTTCTCAGCCCTGCTGAAGTGTGTTACTTTTTTGGTTTCCAGTGTAATAATCCAATGACCAAAGAGCCCAAGCTGGAAGCAGCTGTCCGAATCGTCCCCGAGTGGCAGGACTATGACCAGGAGATCAAGCAGCTGCAGATGCGCTTTCAGAAGGAGAAGGAGACGGGAGCGCGGCACGAGGAGCGGACGGCCACGGAGCCAGGCGCGGAAGGTAGGGCGGCCCTGGGCTTCGGGAGAGCTCCGCAGTTGTGGTTCCTGCTTGTTGCAGAAACAACAGCCTACGGACGTTTTGTCCCGACATCATCCAGTGTATTTCACTTTCCTGTTCCAGTCTGGCCTTCTGGTACTTGTCACTGCGGCTGCTGCCCTTTTCGTCCTTTTGCTTTGAGAAAGGTCCTTTCATTGTGACTGTTGTTACTTAGGGTTTGGTGGTACATAAGCCAAACCTGACACTATATTGGGATCTCTTGCCAGATTCCTTGGTTTTCCATCAAATCTCTCCAGTCACTAGTGAATGAACACATTTAGGATTGACAGATGCATTTTTATTTAATCTAGGCTAAGAATAGGAAGGACTAGTCTTAATGTAATCTGTCACTCCTGTGTATAGATCTCCATGCATTTGAAAAAAATTATTAGACTACAAAACTGACCTTTTGTAAACTATTAATAAGCTGACTTCTGGATTTTATTAGGTATTCAGCTCAAAACTAAAAGCAGTTAAGGAACATGGATCTTGAGTGATTCACCCAAACATCCTGAAGATTATATCATGATATTAAATATCACAGCTGAAAGGTTGGATATTCACCATAAAAATAATTCAAATTCATTAGTAAGCTTTAAGAATTTCCATAGATGGGCAAAGAATGTAGACATACTGTTCAAGTAAGAGGAAAACAAACAATAAATGAATTTGAGGAAACAGTAATGAGGTGAAAGGAATCTGTCAATACATATCACATCGAGATTCGTACTAAGGAGGCCGTTGTCGGGGACGTGCTGGCCGAACTGCTGGACCCCTGCGTCTTACACAGTCCTTGTTAAGTCATCAGCCATTGTCAGGACAGTTAAAAGGTTTATACTTCAATAATTTTTTGTGAAATTACCTTAAAGAAATTCAACAGAATAAAGTTATATGCATGGAGAAATTATTTTGCTAATATTTCTAAACCAAAAGCATTGAAAACAGTGTAAACCTCCAAGCACAGAGAATGGAAAATGAGCTGCACAAGAAAATGTGTATATGGTGTTACATGAGAAAATGAGGCTCCTGCCTGAGAAAGTGCATCTGACAGAGGTAAACACTGTCCTTTGTAAACAGTTCACCTTAGGTAAGGGACACGCAGGTGGTTTCATTGTAAAGATAAAAATGTCTCTTATTTTGTTTTTGCTTTCAAACACATCAAACCAAAGTTTCTAAACATTTAAAAAGAGAGATAAAATGGAGGTGTGGGCACAGATGACGGTCACTGTACTAGAAAGTGCCCAGTCTGTGTCTTCATGACGTGAGGACAGTCCACTTTCTTTCATTCTCTTTGTCTAGGACCTCAGACACACGAAGAATTATGATCTGCGGAGAAGTATAGGAAATCGCACCATTTGAAAAACATTTTTTATATTCAACGCTAGTTTTTTCTGATCTGTCTATACAACTGCTGATGAATTGGCTGGGCAGGTGTGCCTAGGCCCTTTTGATTCTGAGCATCGACTTTGAGACCTGCATCCTGGCTGGGTCTTTGGAGCTAAGGCTCTCCTGGGTCTGTACCTCGGAGGAAGACCAGGGGCTGATCTCTGGGGACTCTGCGGAGAGCAGTCTTCTCACCAGGAGGGAGCATGGCGAAGCCGTGGAGGGAGCACAGGTCCTGTGTGTCCCCACCCAGAGCTCTTGCCACACTCCTGGGAGCCGAGCTGCCGGAACCACCCTTCTTCCTTTCTCGGTAGGCTGGAGCGGACTCCCTCTGCAGCTGCAGTGGGGACAGGTGCTCTCCAGTTGGGCCAGCAGGAGCTCTGTCCCGACCGGGACACCTGGAGGTTATGCTGGTGTGCTCCTGTGTCCTCCTGTGCCCTTCCTATGCCCTTTCTATGCCCTTCCTGTGCCTTCCTGTGCCCCTCCTGTGCCCTTCCTGTGCCCTCCCTGTGCCCTGCTCCCCAGCAAGTTCTGCGATGGACTGAGACCCAGCCAACAGTGGTGTCTTCAGGGCTGGCTCGGGACAGGCTAACTGGGACAGAATGGGGTGGGTGAGGGTGAGGGTATGGAGAATATCAGGAGTAGGACCACTCGGGGGTGTCAGGGATGGGGTGGGGGAGGAAGACCGGAGATGGGCTGTTTTCTTTTGTAAACCATTGGTACCATTGTGAGTAATTTGAAGCAAAAACATTATTCTTATTCCCCACCCAACTTCACCGACTATTTTAGGTAATTATTTTGTAAACAATTTGTGGAAGTATTTGCTTTGTTTTCCACTTTCTGACAAAAGTCGCTCCTGATCTCCTTACGGATACAGCCATAGTAGCCCTCCAGAGGTGCATCGCAGGCTCAGGGCCACCTGGGACTGACTCGCTGTCACTCCCTCCCTCTGAGGGCTGTTCCCTCAGACAGGGAAGCAGGCTTTGGCGTTTCCCTACAGAAGACTCCAACATCTGAGACCAGGAGAGGTTTGGGCTGTGTGATTCGTGTTTCAGACACGGCTCCATCCTCTCAGCTCAGCACGTGGGTGCCTTTGGCTTCAGAGACAACGCCCACCTGTCCCGACTGCATGGGCATCTGGAGGCCACATGCCCTGTAGGCACTGCTCTCTGTACCTGTGCTTCAGCACATGCCCAGGGAGGGGCCTGCTGGGAGCTCCCACTAGGAGTCTCCCTGTGTGCTGGCCTGTGTGGGTGGGGGTCCCAGGTCCCCTTCATCCCAGCTGCAGGGACGCAGAGCACAGCCGTGGACTCTCATACGTGCCTGCTTTTAAATAGGAAGGAGTGCACATGGTCTCCAGGGCCTCACTCGCCTAAGCCAGGTAACATACTGATCTGCAGTCTTTTTTTTTTTTTAAATCAAGGTCTTACGATGAATGTCAAGTAATTTATTTTTTCCACATTCACATGCAAAGTCAGCACAGGAGTCCCTCAAGCACTCTGAGGAACTTTTGAGTTTCTTCTATGAGTCCATGAAACGCTGGGGAAGGGGGTTCAAAAGGTTTTTAGATAAACTGACCCAAGACCGACAGAATGCTTGCTATGGGTGAAGCACCAGGTCCGAGCCGTGGGAGGGGTCCCCGAGAGTCAGTGCCTATGCAGCTTCATCTTACGTTGTTTACGCTTCTCCATGGCTTCTGCTGCTGCCGCTCCGTCCACAGCGTGGGCAGAGCTGTGTTTTTCTGGGAGCTGGAGCAGGAAATACTGGTCACTGGGACATGCTCTAATGGCAGTTCCTTGGGCCATGAACCAGACCATCATTCCCCATGTCTCCTACCAGGGCTCTTAGCATATTCCGTGGGGAGGCACTGGGTGAAGTCTGTTCTCTGTGTGTCCTCATTGCCCATGCCTGCCAGCGCTCTAACTGAGGTCTTACTGGTGTTTGGGTGTAAATGTTCAAGATCAGCTTCTGCGGTGGCCCAGGGCCCTCCTCCTCCTGCCGTAGTTCCTGATTCGTGCGGCACAGCCCTCTTTCAGCTGAGCCTCTGATGCCCTAGGAAATGGTGTTAGCACTAAAACCCGGCCAGTGTCAGCTTTCTCTGGCCTCTACTGCATGAAGCCGATTGTGACCGAGAAGATAGGGAAGGCAGGTTTACTTCTAAGACGGAAGGGTCGATTGCACCGAGGCATTCAGAGTTCTCAGAACTGTCACAGTGTGTTGTTTTGAACCATCATTTATATGAAATGGGTTCCCCTCTCCCTCTCTCATTATGCCATAATGGAAAATTTTCTTTCTGAATGAGTGTCAGAGTGATGTGAAGTCATGTGACTTTCATGTTTCATGGAGTGATGTGTGACTGAGATCAAGACCCCTGCTCACAGCCTGCCGCTGGCACTGTGGGCCTGCCTCTGTCTGTCCTAGACTTGCATTTAGTCTGCCACACTGATCACAGTGAGCTCATTCTCCATGAGCTTGCTCAAGTGCTGACTCAGCATGGCATTTCGGAGGGGCCGGTGCCTGCGCCCCTGTGCTGCTCCTTCAGGCCTTTGCACTCTGAGCTCGTGGAGCTCGGGGCGAACGTTTACATGGACTGAGAACTAGTTCCCAAGAGTGGAGCTTCGTTTGCTCTGCCCCCGTGAATTCCCCCCAGCATGGGCCTCGGTAAAGCTCTGTCTGAATGAACAGCTTCAGTCTGGCTTCAGGGACTGCTTGTCCCTGGTGAGGGGTTGAACGCGAGGGGTGGCCGTGCTTCTTCACAGAGAAGCCCCCTGTGCTGGGGAGGAAGGAAACCCCCTTTCATGGAGCTGGGAATTCTGCTTGTTGACACCATCACTTGGGACAGATCAGATACCACCCTCATAGTGATGAGCACGAAATGGTTCCTTTCCCCCATCTGCCCTGTGAGGACCTGAAAGCCGTCCTTTTTTTTTTTTAATCCTCACCCGAGGACATTTTTCCACTTTTTGTTCAGGCAGAGAGGGAGGGAGAGAGAGGAACAGAGAGAGAGAGAGAAACATCTATGTGAAAGGAACACATCGAGTGGCTGCCACCCGCACAACCGGCCAGGGCCGGGGACAAACTGCAACCGAGGTACGTGCCCTTAGAGGGAACCGAACCCGGGTCTCTCAGGACCGCAGGCCGACGCTCTAACCGCTGAGCCAAACCGGCCAGGGCAAAGCCGTCCTTTTCTAAAATCGCCATGAATGAGTGCGAGAAACATCTCAGCTCAAGGGTTACAAGTGAATAGTGCATGTCTCTGAATAGAATGTCAGCGCCAGGGCATCGGAGTTCGTGGAATGTGAATGTGTTGGTGAAGCTCCCAAATGGACACTTTTCCTGGGTGACACAAGGGGGTGCATGCGTACAGAGCTGTGAAATACATTTACCAGTGTGCAATTTTTATGATTTTTAAAATATTTGATTTAATGGGGAATATTTGGGGGATAATAGAGTTAATCAACTTAAAAACAGCTGTTGTGTGTCGAGTTTGGTGGTATAACATTTTTAATTTAAATTCATGTTTTCCCTGCTTTTATGTAGCAAGCAAAGGTCTTAATCAGGACTTTGGTGATTATGTGATTGAAATCAAGCAGATGAGAGTCAACTCATGTCGGCGTGGGTACTTCAGAGTATCTGGAGGGTACCAGTTTCTCCTCGTTGGGTCGTTGGTCTCGATCTGATACAGAAAGGATGCTTCTGGGGGCAGTGAGTCAGTGCCCAAGCAGAGGGCCCTCCCTGAGAGCTCACTGATAGTTTCTAAAAACAACCATAGAGTCAGCTTTAAGCAGCTGCCTGCTCTCTGGAAGTGGTTGGAAAGTTTAAACACCATGGTGACGACTGTGAAGCAGGCCATCTCCTGGTCTTTCCCAGTTGCTTAGCAATGCAGAGGCCAATGTGGAAGATTTGATGGAGGGGGTACAAGTTAGGTGGGAACTAAGGCCTTCTCCTGTCTGTGACTCAGGCATCGCCTTACTTGTCGTGAGTTAGAGTTCCAGAGAAACGGGTATCATTCCTCTTAAAATAAAAGTATCAAAATACATTAACCTCTGGTCAGCAATTTGAGAAAAAGAGAATCAAGTACCATGTTTTACAACCAGTTATCCTTGGTAATAACAATGTACACATGGAAAAAATGAAGAAAAATGTTATGATTTTAAAAAACTATGTACCTTAAAAAAAGCCCATCTTTATAAAAACTATTCTGTTTCTCTGTACTTTTGTTCCACTAAATGCAACAGTCCAGGTGCTGCTCTTGCCTGGGGACCCGCATCGGGGCTCTGGTGTCTGCAGAACCCTCTGCACCTGAGTGAATGTGAATGAATTCCTTGCTGCTGTAATGAGAATAAGGTCTGCTCAACCAAGAAATGCCTCCTTCTCTTCTTTGGAACAGTCTGGTCAGTTATTCAGCTTTGATATTTAGGAAGGGCAGGTTGGGAGAGCTCAGAGCTCCACCCCTTTATCTGACTGAGGGAGCAGGTCCAGACAGGAAGGAGAGCTTTACCTGAACATCTTACCTGGCGAGGAAGCTGGGCGTGGTTGCAGCCAGCTGTGCCTCATCAGGTTCGCCAGCCTCAGAACTGCCCCAGGTGGAGCTGGCAGGCCAGCTGCCCAGCAGCACTAACCATAACAAAGGAGAACCTTGACTTCGTGCATCATGCAGAAGCTCCGAGCTCCTGCTCTGGCACTAGATTTGGAGTTGAAGCTGCGAACCCTCCTGACAGGTTCTCATTGGACACTGCAGGCTGGTGTCATGGGTGCTCTTGCTGAATCAGAGGTGGAGGGGCCCTGGGGCTGTGAGAGCATGGCAGAGAGCACTGAAGGGTAGGTGGAGAGGCATTTCGTGGTCAGGAAGAGTTTCCACGCGGAGACGATGTTCACATGGAAGCCTGTGGAATGAGGACTTGTCCTGTCCGGGGAGAGAGATGGGGAAAGAGGGAGGGGCAAGAGCTGTATGTCATTTAGGGAGTTGTAAGTAAGCTTATGTGGCCAGAATCATGGCCAGAGAGAAGTTTGGGGGGGGGGGGGGCGCTGTTTGAGCCCAGACCACAAGAAAGCCCCTGAGGGATTTTTAAACTGGGTGCCAACATGACATTTTTTACTTATGATAAACTTTTAAAAAATTGCTTATAGCAAATGTAGAC